GCCTCTGTTTGTCAGAGGCTGGAGAGGGATGGCACGAGACAAGTCACTTGATCATTGTCTTTGGTCCACCCCCTCTGAGGCACCTGGCATGGGCCACTGTCGGCAGACAGGCTACTGGGCTAGATGGACCTTTGGTCTGACCCAGTACGGCCGTTCTTATGTTCTTATGAATATTTCTTGAAACTAGGCTCTTACCTGACCCACATAAATAGTCATTTTTATATTCAGAAAAACAGCCTGCTCACCCCACCGAGAAAGGGCATATTCACAACTCAGCATGCAGGAGGAAGGAACGGTGTCCTTATATACAGAAGTGAGCTACAGTCTGTCATGGAAAGGTTGCTGGCAAAAAGAAGATACTAAATTGCAGGGAATCTTTTTCACTATATAGATACTTGTATACAAGTATCTATATCCAGTAGCCTCTGGAGGAAGGAGAGGATTATATTCCCTGTTTAATGACTATTTTTAAAATGCTAGCTGAAATGTATATTTTGGGCTACAGACTTGAGTAACACAAGGTTGTATTAAACTGGGGTCTACTTTCTTATAAGCCTGCACAAAGCACGCTTTCTTTTTAAATGGAGATGCCTATCTCCTAAAACTGGAAGGGACCTTGGAAAGATCAAGCCCAATCCCCTGCCTTCACAGCAGGACTAAGTACCATCCCTGACAGATTTTGCCCCAGATCCCTAAATGGCCTTCTCAAGGACTGAACTCACAACCCTGGGTTTAGCAGGCCAATAGCTATCCCTCCCCCCTTCTTTCCTGGTTGATAACACTTCTAGGCCTGCTTAGAATATTTACTTACTTAATGTTTAAAATTTTTAACTGATACATTTGTAGCCTTTATTTCCTACATTCTTGTGAACTATTATATTTTGATAATATATACATCAGACTGTAGATGAGTAAAATGTATCTCTCTTCACTGTTATCTGACAAAAATACCCTGATAAGATGTCTTTCAGTGGACCTAGTGCTTTTCTCACTGCACTTCCTTACAATGCGTATGAACCTATGACAAAAGGACATGCTAAGCAAATACAGAAATATTTACTTGGCAATCAGAAGTTGTCAGGCAATTGATAAAAAGCTTGGCAACAGGATCACAGACATATTCTGGGACAAATTCTGCTGAGGTGAGTAGCTGTGATAACTAATGAATAATGGTTGCAGAATCAGGTGCTATATCATGCTTCACAAACCAGAAGGAATGTTAGACACTGAAGCAGCAAGGAAATTCTACTAGGGATGTTAGTGAACAGTCATTTAAACAATTAACCAATAATCCTGGCCATATCAGTTAATCCTAATGACTAGACATACACACCCCCACCCTTGCTGCCTCTGTATCAGAGGCAGCTGCGGGAAAGGGAGGGCAAGCGGGAGCCAGTGCTTGTGAGGAGCCGGCTTTTAAGCACTGGCTCTCACTTACTCCCTCCTCACCCCTGCATGTAAACGTGTAACTGCTAATATTTCAAGCGGTTACACATTTATATAAAAACATTATAGTTAACATCCCTAGATTCCACTGATGTTAAATTTTAACACTGAAAATGTTGACCGTTTCACTCCTTTCTTCATTTAAGATGTGACCATAGGTTGCCAAAGTGGTTGGAAGCAAAACAACACAAACCTAACAAATCTGTTCTTGTGCTCCTGAGCACATATGCCTGCTATTAAAGTCATTTGAATGTTTTTCCACTGGAAAGCTGTTCAGTCATCTTGTTCATAAAAGCTCCCTTCATGGTATTTATAAATAAGTTTCTTGTGAGTGAACAATGTTGTATGCTTAAATATCCATAAGAAGAATCCAAGAATGGTTTCAGGAAAATAAAAGTTTAAACAAAGAAAAAGCTCAAAATGTTGGCAAAAATTATACTCACTTTACTCCTTTCCGGGTTATTAATGTTCCTGAAGTGAAGTTGAAAACTTTTGCAAATCGTTTTAACTTATAAGTGGTCATTCTGTGTTGAAAAAACAAATATAGTATGATGTTCAGAAAATATATAATTTTATACAATTCTGCTACAGATTTAAAAGGCAATGCCCAGACAGGTGACTGATCCAGATTAGACTTTAAAACTCAGATTCAATAGAAGCATAATGTGAAACACAACAGATGCAAATCACCCTGTGATGCTGAGAAAGTAGGGAATGGGGCAGAATAGCCCTACTACCTTGATTGCATATTTGAGTCACCACAGCACAACACGAGTTAGAGCAGAAGCTTGACCATGAAGATACCTCTACAGGACCCTCCTAATTCTCACTGTTCACACAAGCTACATCCAAGATCTGGTTCTAAAAATACAACCCATCCTATCTTAACTGATGCTTAAAGACTGGATAATAGGAAGCCAAAAATTACTCAGTACTGCCAAATCCTGTGCATTTGTGGCACCTGCAGGAGGTATTCTCTCAAAGATCCAAACAGTCACTCCTTTCCCTCAATTTTCAGGACTAGTCATGCAGGCAGAGCTCATGAGAGAGCCACTGGGATGGAGAGAACAAATCTGCCACTGAGCACCAAGCCCTACTTTTTATGTATGGCTCTCTCATTAGTAGCGGAAAGGGAGGTCCTTGGACAGCAGGACACAGAGAAAGATGTGAGAGGAGTGTGTATTTAAGCTTGACTCTTCCCTCTTCCTTTCACACACATTGGCAGAGGACTACAGAGGCATTTAAGTCAAAAGACAAACTACATGCCAAGATTTGATTCTGAGGCCAATCTGATATTTGCTCTCGTGAGGCTGGCACTACTGAGTAACTGTTTACACCCTGACACTGTACTGAGTTTTACTGAAATACTTACTCATAGTGAAAGCCAATGTCATGGTTGCCAACGACGACCATTAGCTCAGTGCGAACTGGATGTCGGAACATTTTCTGAAACCGCCTGACGTCATCTTCCCAGGCCTGAAGGAAAATTATAAAAACTGCTGATATTGAAAAGAACTGTGAAAGGACTGAGCTGTAGGCTGGTACTTTGAGACTTTTGTGTTCTATATGTTTGGGTTGGGAGAAGAGAAAAGCTAGAGGAAAAGTCAAGTCCATGGAAAATCACCAAACATCTGTTTAGTCAACCTCTTGCAAACTACTATTGCCAAGACAAGAACAGCAACTATTGTATATTCTCTAAGAACAGAATATCGACAATATTAAAAACAGCCATTAGTGTAATTAATATTGCAACAACAATTATGAACTGACTTTAGAATACAGGACACACATAGAATTTTTTGACCAGCTATCAGGAAGGTCACAGCCCCAATCACCAATATCCAGTAATGAATGCACTGGCCTGTCTACTTCCCTTGTTTTTATTTGCAAAATTCATTTGCCAAGATCTTTAATGCACTCTGGGCAATACATATTTTTGGGGATTTAAGGTGGCCAATAATGCTTTTACTTTAAAACTCTGAATTGCTGACCACTCATGCTAATAGCCTGTCAACATTTGTGTCAAAGTGATGGCCACAAACATTTATATATGTTTCCTCTTTTCCACAAGTTATAGTTAGGAAGCCCCACTTATAGAAGCAAGAGAAACCTTCCAAGGCTGTGAAAATGGGGTTAAGTATCTCATAAGCATGAAGATGATCACATTTAACTCACCTCCTCAGACAGGCACTTTCTTGGTGCATATCCTGCCTCCTCTTAACCTTACACTCAAGTGTAAGAGAACAGGTGTCTAGGATGCTGGAGACCAATTCAACACAGAAGACTATGCCTAATGCAGGATTTTATTTGTGCCCACGCCTGCTCTGCAGTGACTGTCATACTACCCTAGAGAGTCAAGGCCTACAAAGCTGCAATACATAAATTGTGAAGCCTGACTTGCTCTGCATGCCATTTATTTCCAAAAAACCCCATGACTGAGTCTAGACTGGCATGATTTTGCACAAATACTTTTAACGGAAAAACTTTACCATTAAAAGTATTTGTGCAAGAGAGCGTCTATACTGGCATGTGCCTTTGCGCAAAAGATTTGCTTTTTTGCAAAAGCATCCGTGCCAGTGTAGACGCTCTCTTGCGCAAGAAAGCGCAGATAGCCATTTTAGCCATCGGGCTTTCTTGCACAAGAAATTAACGTGGCTGTCTACACTGGCCCTCTTGCGCAAGAATACTTGCACAAAAGGACTTATCCCTGAGCAGGAGTGTCAGAGTATTTGCGCAAGAACCACTGATTTTGTACAGTACAAAGTCAGTGTTCTTGCACAAACACTCACGGCCAGTGTAGACAGGCGGCAAGATTTTGCGCAAAAACAAGTGCTTTTGCGCAAAATCTTGCCAGTCTAGAGGCACCCCATTTGTTTTAAAATAGTTCAGTAGTTTGACACTAAAAGCCAGGAGCAGTGGATCTTTTTACCTGGGAGGAGCTCCACTTCCCTTCATCAAAGATGTCTCCTAGGATGAAAACAATATCTGGCTCCAGTAACAACAAGGCAGTTTGGAAGGCTCTCTCCATTTGCCATTCCCTATGAAACAAGAAACAGTTTCAAAAGACTCTCTTAATTGCCTGATCCTTTACTCTGATTAAACAACGCATTTGCCTGACAGGATGGTGAAGCAGACTCTCAAAGGCTGAAAGAGCTACTCTGAAACCCAGTTGGATTTTAAGACAGGTTTTAAAACCAGCTCACAAGCTAACTCCCTGCACTACCCCCCAGCAAAACTTCAGCCAGCACCAGTATGGCCATTCTTATGTTGGAAATTTGCTATGCCAAACCAAGCCATATTTTAGTCCCATAGAGATGAGTCTTCCTTTAGTAGATTTCATCTTGTAGTGATCTAAATAAGATTTCTGCTTCGATACAGAATAAACCATATTGTAACACCACTGAATTTGGCAGAAAATATTTTAGACTTCTACTACATCATGTGATTCCTGTCCTATACTGATTTATAGTAACTACCTGTATTGGGCAGTTGTTAGTCTGCAATAGCTTGCTCTCTAGTTTGAGAGCATAACTGAAAATTTTATAGGCTCTCTCAATGTCACATGAAATTTTCCAATGCTGAAGTCTTTATTAGTTCGTCTAATTGGACAATGCAAAGTCACATTGGAAAGGGCACTAACATCTAAAAGCATTTGCTGTTTTTCTCATGAGGGTTGAGCAAGGGGGACTCCTACCTCACTCACCTCAGTCTTACTAGGGAGTGGCCTCACTCTTCTCAGCTATTTAATTACACTTCTGGTTATTAAAAGATAAAAGAATGTTCAGTAGAGATTGAGTTTGATACCACTCAGCTGCATAGCTCCTGCCAGGAAAAATGGACATTTTCCTTCAAAGTTCTGCTTCTCTGTGGATTACCAAAGGGAAGCAATGTGGGTTAATGAATTAGGCGTGTGATTGGGAGAGACTGATTTTAGTCTTGGCCCTGATTCGCTGTGTGACAATGGGCAAGTTCCTATCAGGTCACCCACCCCTGTAAATGGGATGCTATTACTGACTAACAGGGGTGTTGTGGAAATTAACTAGCTCAATTTTGTAAAACACTGTGTGTATAAGTATTATTATAAACTGGAAAGGATTCTCTGAGCCAGACAATGCACTCAGAAGCTTACGACAGCAAACTATAACAGCAACACTAGCTACTCAGGTCTGTCAGACACTGAATTGATAAAACAGTCTAATTACCTAATCCTCCATTATTCTTTTCACCCAAAATTCAGACAAGCAAATTAGAAGCCAGAGTGGCTACTTGCCATAAATGCCACTACATTTACTACTGCTTATACATGGTTGCTGATAAAAGTTTTAAAAGATTGGTTACAACATGTTCCCTAAATTTGGTTATTACCTTCTTAATTTGTCTAGCCAATGCCCTTTGATTTCACCAAGCAGGTGGGTATCAGATAAAAACATGGCTTTCAAGACAGAAGCTGAAGACTGTGTGTCGCCCCTATGAGCTTCTATTTTAACTTCTGGCCAATGACATTGAAATATCACCACATAATAAATGATGAATTCACAAAAGATTAGCACAAAGATGACCAGACATAAAAGCGTCAGCAGAAAACAGCCTCTCTTCTTCAAGTGAAGAATCTTCATAATGCTCAACTCAGATCTCATCATTGCCATGTCATCCTATGGAAGTTATTCTCCGATGGCAAAGTACTCTCTTTCATACACCAGGAAATGGTAGGGTCCACTCAGAGGTTTGAATGAGCTCCACATCAGTACAGAATCCCTGCAGAAAAAATAAAGATATTTATAAGCCCGGTATTCCATGTATTAATCAAGTGCAGCTCACTTCAAGATGAAAAGTCACATCCCAATTCCTATTACATTATTACCATTATCTGAAAGCCTTGGAGTCCTGTAACTAAAAACAAGTATCACAAAGGCAAAGCTGTTTTCCCAGCCAAAGGAAACAGATTATTGACCAGGATGGATTTTCAGATTTCCTTGGCTTTATTACAAGGTCAGGCTACTCCAACCACATCTCCCTTTCCCCCAATCTTCAGAACCAATGTAATAGTAGAAGAAGAATAGTGTTCGTGGCTAAATCAATAGAGAACTTGGAGCCACAGCACCTGGCTCTACCACCAGCTTCCCAAGTGATCTCAGGCAAACTGTCACTTAATATCTCTGCCTCAGTAACACACATTTCCTGTCCCACAGAGCTGCTCCAAAGTAGGGACGTGAAAGGTTAACCAGTAAGCATCACCCTTAATCAGTGGTGATGGTTCCTGCTAATCTTTAACTGATGGTGGCTGAAGCGGCTCTCCCATGGGGACACCACTAAGGGCAGGGGTTGCTCCAGTCATCCAGAGCCTTGGCACTCTGCAGGCCAGAGCTGCTCTCTGTCTGCAGGAAGCATGGGGCGCCCCCAGGGGATGGGGAGGAAACACTACAGTGTTAAGAGATGGGGGAAGGGCGACACCTCACCCCTACAGAACTGGAGCGCCCATGCCACCTTTAACTGATTAAATGGGATTTTACATCCCTACTCTTGGTCAGCTGGCAAAAGCAAAATGGTAAAAATGCCCATTGGTCAAAAAACAGGTGCAGTGCGAAGTGGCAAGCAGAGAGACAAGCCCCCCACAAGGCTCCTGCAGCCAAAAAACAGCCTTGTCATGGAGGAGCGGGACACGGTTCCAGAGATAAGCAACAGCATGGGGGGGGGGCAATGGCAGAGGCCCCTAGTGAACAGTTATGGGTTTCCCATTTTCTCTTTGGGAAGTATAGTCACCTTATCATGAAGTTACCTCTTCTCAAACATAGATTTGTCAATGTTATCAATTTTTAGAAACATTATCTTTCCAATACAGCAAATAGGCAACAGTCTGGGTCAAGAACTACATTTTTCAGTGTCACTGAATACATTTGGAGCAGTGGGTCAATCTTTACTATGTGCTTTAGAGGAGTATGGGCAATGCAGAGGCAAAAAACCCACAAACTACAGCAACTGCTCATTAGTTGATAGAAAACACTCAGCCACAATAAAATAATCTGTAAAGGCCTATTTGTTTCTACATACTGATAGGTTACGAGCATGAACATAACTTTCACAATTCTGTTCCATATGGAGACAGCAATAAGCTCTATGCACACACAAGTGCACACTAAATATTCTCTTCGTTTTTCTGTTTGTCACTTGCTAAAACTTCATTTTCTCCCATTCTTCACATTACTTGAATTGCACTAAGGGAAAAAAAGCCTCAAGACAGGGTGGAGAATCTCAGCACACACCCACCCAGCACTGGGGAGCCCACACTGGAATGTGGAGAGTATATTTCTCCTTCTCAGTGGAGGGAACACATCAGTGAAGGCAAGGGTTTGTTTTTGTTTCTCACTTGTGTGCAGCTCTCCGGACTGGTTCTTCTGTTGGTCAGCAGCCCACGAGCCAAAGAAGGTTCCCCGCCCCTGCTAAGACCTTTCCCATGCACAAAACTACACCACACTTAACAGAGAAAAGGCCGCTCTTCCCTGAGGCTTTTTAAAAATCAACTTTCTCTGGTGCCTCTGCAGGCAGAGCTACAAAGATGGAGAGGCAACAAAAGACGGGGCTGTAGGAGACACAAATGCAAGATCCGAATCCTCAATCAAACAACCTAGGAAAATACAATCAGAAGTCAGGTGCATGGCTGTTAGAACGAAAATTATCTTGAAGGTAGAAGTACCATTTAAAGGACATCAGCAAAAGGCGATTCCCCCCAAAAGGGGGGTGAGGGATCTTCTCTGCACATGCCACTCGCTCCAGTGTTTCTGCTCCGGACTGTGGTTATTCTGGGAACTGTGCTGCGTGCAGATTTCCGAGCTGCTGCAGGTGCCTCATCTGCGCGCACACACGTTTGTGGGTTACGGGGTTCCTTTTACTGAAAGGACCTCGCGAGACCAGCCGAACACGATCGGTACTCTCAACCAGGGACGCAGCAAGACAACTCTTATTATTGGCTAAATGAGACACTGATCCGGATTGGCTCTTTTACTTTTCAAGCCAGAGGCTATCATTGGCCGGCTGAAACTGAATTGTGGTTGGCTGCTTTCAACCACAGCTGACATGCTGGTTCAGCTGTAGCTGCTCTTTTTCGACCATAAAGCTATTTTGATTGGAAGACTGGATGTACTATTGATCCACAGTGCAATCCACACCTCCTTTGCAGACCTACTTGTAGGAGAGCTTTCTGACAAGTAGTATTAGAATGGTTTGAAGGTCATTCTTAACGCTGTTACACCCCCCTCACTGCCAAATGGAATTATAATTTAACGTATCAAAGGACAACCGTATTGCCAATAGAAATCCCAAGGCAGCTGATTCTGTTGTTTAGAAATAAACCTTTGCAAAAAATCGAATTAAGAAAAGGTTAAGCGACTTGCATTTATTCTCGTTCTAAAATGGGAGACTAGAATGGTGCAATAGTTGTTTAGAAAGTTTTAAAATAGCCTGATAAAAGGGATAGCAAGGTTTTCACTTTCTTAATTATTTTAATAGCTCAGTCAGAGCCAAAGTATTATAATGCAGATTTCTAAAATATTCAGCAGACTTTGCAAACTGCAGAATTCTGACAGGGATGAACATTTTTATTCCTTCTCACTGCATATTTTTACAGTGGGTAAAAGATTAGTATTGGACATTCTAACAATTGGCAAAAAATTAAAATGTAACCATAGCATCTCTGCATTCTTAGCATTAGTCTATGCTGCTCTTTACATGGAGCATCTTCCCAAAACCAATATGTGAAGCCACAACCTTCTCCCTCAAATCTGCATGACACCCTGGAGAAAGGAGCCAATTGATGGACAGACAGTTGCTATTTAATTAGGGGGAAAAACATGCAAAGAACAAACATGTAGAATAAGAAAGTGCATAGGAATATCATATCTGGATAAAATTTTCAAAGGACAAACAAACAAAGAATTTGGGGATACTGCTAGCTACTGTAGCAATTCTGGCTCTCAAGAGTGAGGCTGGGTATTTCTAGCTCCACTGCTACTGAATTATCTGATTGCATGGTAACTTAAAGCAACTTTTACAATGTCTCTCATCAGCTACACTGATCTTTCTTCTATCACAATTAAAGACTAAGCCCATTAAATCTATCATAATAAAATACCGGCTGGACAATTAGTCAAATACACTGTATAAATAAAAGGTTATAAAAATCCACATTATTAATTCCTGCAACATCAGTTTTAAACAAATGATGTAGAACTGCTGAATTTCTAAAACAAATTCTAAAAGGACTGTTTATTTAAAAACTATATAACATGCACAAGGTCAAAATAAAAGATACAGAATATCATAAAATTGCATGTGAGTGTCAAGATAATCAAGTTTTTATTTTGGAAAATGAACTGCTAACCTCGTAACCAAGTTGGTCTGTGTTTTGGGAGAGAATTCAACCTTCTAAATCTAAATTAAATGTTTAATTTCTATTAAGTTATATGACTATTACTAGTTACAAAAGGTGCTGCAAAAGCAAGTCCATATGTTGAAGTTATGCATTTCAAGCACTTTTCATATTGATCATTCAGTTGTATTGATTGTTGAAGAGCATACTTTAAATCTTCTATCTCGTCGAAAAATTCCTAAAAAAGAAAATTCAGTATTGATTTTTTTTTCTTAAGTTACATTTCCCATTAGGCATTGGAAGATTATAATTTTCCCCTGCTTGAGCCTACTTCTCAGGGTACAGACACAGCGAGTCTCACAGCCCCAGCAGACAGACTCAGACTTACACTGCATTCTAAAAATAGGTGTACAGACATGGCAGCTCAGGCAGGAGATGGAGGCAGGCTTCAAAGCCTGAGCCCCAACATCTACACAGCCATTTTTAGTGGAACAGAGCAATCTCAACCTGGGCTCAGACACTTGCTCCTGAGGGCCATGTAAATACACCCTGCGGGTATGTCTACACTAGTCCCCTAGATCGAACTAGGGTGGCTAACGTAGGCATTCGAAGTTGCAAATGAAGCCCGGGATTTAAATATCCCGGGATTTATTTGCATCTTCCCATCCGGGCGCCATTTTTAAATCCCCCTAGTCCGAACTAACTGCCTACGGCTACACGTGGCAGTCAAACATTAACTCGAACTAAGTCCTTAGTTCGAGTTAACTGTTACACCTCGTGGAATGTAACCGCAGGCAGTTAGTTTGGACTAGGGGGATTTAAAAATGGCACCCAGACGGGAAGATGCAAATAAAGCCCGGAATATTTAAATCCCAGGCTTCATTTGCAACTTCGAATGCCTACATTAGCCACCCTAGTTCGAACTAGGGGGCTAGTGTAGACATACCCTCAGAGTTTGCTTCAAGTTATACATGTAGGAATAACTTTGGTCACCAGGGAGACTGCAACTAGCTCTGAATTGATATGAGACAACTAACTGCAACACTGCAGCCCCAGTAGCCTCAGGGCAACAGAGCCCCAGCAGCCCCTGCGGCCACAGGACAGCGGAGCCCTGGCAGGCCCACGGCAATGGACCAGCAGTAGGTCAGGTGGGGGCAGCAGAGCCATGGGAGACTATGCGGCCCCGGGATAGCGGAGTCACAGCTGTCCTGGGGCAGTGGAGCTGCAACAGCCCTTGCAGCACCGGGAAGGGGAGCCCAGGCAGCCCTGCAGAACAGAGCCATGGCTGCCCTGGCAATCCTGGACCTGTGGAGCCGTGGCAACCCTGATGCCCCAAGGAGCCTGAACCACAAGGAGCCAGGCAACCCCAGTAGCCCTGGGGAGCAAAGCTCTGGCATCCCCAAAGCTGCAGCAGCCCCGGGGCCGTGACAGTCCCAGTTCCCAAGAACTACAGTAGCCCCAGCAGCCCCTGCAAAGCTGTGGAGGCCCCAGGACAGCAGAGTCCAAGTAGTCCTGTGGCAACCAAGCTGCAGCAGCCCCAGTGCCCTGAGGAGCAGAGCCCAGCAATCAGTTGAGTCAAGGTGACGAGAAGGAAACAGCTATAAGCATAGCTGGGAGCTTTAAGCATAGCTGGGAGCTCTTTTTGTTCAGAATATTACCAGGTTCAGTCACCACTAAGATTCACTGTTCTGCTGTCCAACTTTGAAATCCTTATGAATTATATACCTCTGTGATGTGCAGCTTCTATGTCAATCCAAGAGTCATGGACCACTATGATATTAGAAGTAACTCAACCAATCACTGCTGTTCTTACATGGCTAATTTGTATGCAACAGTTGTATTGGTTGTATGAGTCTGTGGATTATGTGACCCAATTCTCACACCCATGTGATATCACAGGTTTTTGGCTACTATTATATAAATAGCAATCATTTTAGTGACAAATAATCAAGTCCTCAGCTCTCTCTCTCATCTGAAAAACGAGATTTTCAATCACATAGTAACCCCATTCCTAAATAAAACATCAGGGTGGGCCACAGTGACTCACTAACAATTCTTAGAAAACAATCACACACAATGAATCACCAACACCACTTTCTGCCGGATCTGTATGCACTACCCAACTAAAATCTGTTTAGCTTGTTGAAGCTGTTGTGAATCACAGGACAAAGCAGTACTTTTTTAAGAAGAAGCACTAAGTTAATACTAAAAACAAGTGAAAAGTTGTATCAGTATCTGAACTTACTTTTCAAAAAACATTCATGGCTATATATTAGGATTATTCTCTCCACACCGACAGTAAAATTTTCAAAAGTACCTAACTGCACTAAGTTCCCAAATCAGTTGAATGTCAATGACCCCTCATGTGCTGCAAGTGTCCCAGTCCAAAAGCCAATGGATTAATGTTAGTCCTCCAATTTAAAAGACAAAACTAAAATAATTAGCTTTATGCAAATACAAATATCTAAAAACAGTTTAAAGGAAAACTGCTGCTAACAATGAAGAAAATTTTCATCTGCATATTCAAATAATTCAGATGAATAGTAAGATTAGGCCTCTAACCCTTACTAGATCATTTCAAGAATTACCAACACTTTCCATTAATTCCCCTTTTTTCTTCATCTAACTACCTGTTGGACAGAACTAAATCAATCATAAAGAATTTACATTTCAGTGTCTCTAACATGGAGCAAATAATCTCTCTTGATTTATCAACAAAGTGGAGGACTAGAGACAAAAGTGACCCCAATATAAAAGTGGATCCACAAGAGAATCAAACAGTGGATTCTCTTTTATATTGGGGTCACTTTAAAAGCAGAACAACATCTGAATTCCTCTTCCTGAACAAGTATGCATAGAAATTAAACCAAAGACTTTGCAAGAATTGTTGGTCTGTACTGCTTTTTAAAATACTATCAAGCAAACACATGTTAGAGTAAATTTGTACAACAGCAAATATATCATTTATGGGTAATACACAGTACGAAGTTAGTTTTATAAGTGTATCTATTACTGAATTCATCCTAAGAGCAAGTTACCTTGTCTAATGCAGCTAATTCATTTCTTTGCATTTTCCTTTCTCTGGACAACTTCTCATTTTTTTCCTTCAGCTTTTGAATTTCAAGCAACAATACCTCTATATTCAAATTAAAAATTCATATTGTATTTATTACAATGACTTCTCACACATCTGTCATAACCATATACTATATCTGATGTCTGGTGTTATTGTGATGCAAATTACAGCTAATATTTTAGAAAAAAATATGTATAATTAAAAACTGACCCTACCCATTTCCAGCAACTACAAGATCATAGGATCTGCCACGTGGATAGTTTCCATGTGAATTTTTAAAGACCAATTCTGATATTTTTGCTTGCTAGCATTTGATCTAAAAGTAACAAACTCTGCTCTCACATGTGATTTGAGGATTCTGGAGGTAAGATGAGATCTTCTGAGACATGAGAGGGTTATGCCATCTGTTACTGGATGAGAACTTTCTGTAGAATTGCAGTGAATTCTTAGTTTTAAATAAAAAGCTTGATGTCACAGTACTAATTTGGGTATTCAAGTTAAATATAATCCTGTTCCATTCTGCTCTATTTTAAAATGAATAGAATACTATTGCTAGTATAAAAATTACACTGTGTGGGGTCTACATTTGTCTCAACAGCCATAAGAAAAGTGCCCAGTTTTACAGTTCAAAAAAAGGAGGGAGGGGTGTTTGTTAAAATCTGGTTCCCTCATATAAGATCATCAAACGTTAAGATTCTGAAGTCAAAAGTATGCAACAAGACTGCCTTCAATGGGTTTATGCGTACAGCTGATAATGATATAGTAAATAATAATGCCGATAAACATGGGTGACTGGTAATGTAGGCAAGGGAAGGCATAGCCTTCCCAAAACTGCCTACACACCTGACCACTGAAGGCTGCAGCTGCAGTATGGCAACCCAGCTTCCCCAGCTGCCAGTGAAGGCTGGGGCTGTAGCACAGTAATCCTGCTCCCTGACCGCTGGGAGGGCCAGGTCGGGGCTGCAGCACAGCAACCCCAGCCCTCCACGTGACCAGGAAGAATCTGGCTGGGGGTAAGCAGGGCTTGGCTCCAGGGTCGGGTCTCAGGTGGAAGGGGCGCAGAGAAGCTGAGGCTTGCTTTCCCCAGCTGGGCTTTCACCCACTGCCTGTGCAGATGCACAAGATACAGACAGGGATGGCCTGTCCATATAGGCGAACTAGGCGTTTGCCTAGGGCGCCAAGTTAAATGGGGCACCAAATGGTAGCGCAATATCATTGAGGGGTTTGGAGGTGGGGGCACCGATTGCATAGTTCGCCTAGGGTGCCAGTTGCTGGCAGCTAGTCTAGGGCCGCCCCTGGATACAGACTATAGCTCCTTTCTCTGGGCTACACTGACTTTGTATGTTTAAGCAAAAGAAAAATGCAGCAGAAGTTTTTTTTGTCACTAAAATAAAAAGATACGAGATTAAATCCACACAATGTAGATCTATTGATCAGCTGGGTCCATTTTCATATAGCCATTTTTCAAAGTTTAATAGCTCTTCAGATACTACAAGAAGGGCTAAGAGAAACATATGGTCTTGACTGAGTCCTGTGTATTAAGCTGACATGCATTCTTTTTGATGAGGCATGACATGTAGAAAAGTATCAGAGCAGGAAGTCAATGTTTGCTTTGTAAACTGCCACACATATCAATTACCTAAATATCTGCAAGGACAGGCTCCTTTTTTACACAAGCATCTGTGAGATATTGTTACTTCTGTCTCTGCTGTTGGAGTTCTTACTCCAGAAACAGCGTTGTCCTTCTGGGAGACCTTTTTACATTCCAGCTGTTCAATTATTTGCTTTTGGCCTT